TTCGATCTCTATTTTAGGGGTAAACTCACCACATTGACTGGAGCCTGCTGAGGTCTTCCATTTGGGTGAGAAGTTCCTGAGTGTCCCATCCAGCCAGCATGGTAATCCACTGTAGTTCAAGGTTCTGGGGTGGGGTGTTTGATCCAACGATCAACTGCAGTACTACATCTAAAAGGCAGTGGGTTCCCTAGTCAGCAGACCCGAAGTGGTGGTCCGAGGTGGCCCAGGCTTGCCAGGGCTTACCAAGTGTTCTCAGCCCAGGAATGGGCCCACAGAGGAAGTCTGAGACCGCCCAGGTGGGCTGGAGGCTTTCTCAGGTGGGCTGGAGAGTTGTTCTCAGCCGTGGAGCAGGCCCTCAGCCTAAGGGCAGGCCCAGCTACTTTTAAAAAATGCAGATTCATTAGAATGGGAAATGTCTTAGCTAGATAATAGAGGTTAGCCAAAAAATGGAATAAATTTAATATTATTGGTGGAGATAAATCAAGATAAGTTGCAAGGATGGGAAAGATGGACAGTGCCCCTGGCCAGTGTTTAATGCCTATAATTTGAAAGTAGAAGAAAATAATAGTATGCTAGTTAGGTAAGCAAAACATAATGCTGTGCTTATTGTATATAAACCTTTATTTATTCATTATTTATTTTGATATCAGGAATCAAACTCAGGACCTTGCACTTGCCAGGAAGGCACTGTGCTGTTAAGCTATATCTTTACCCACGTTAAAAAAGAATTTAACAAGTACATGATATAATTGGATCTGAGGACAGTCTCCCTGGAGTTTTGAAAAGTTTTTAATTATCCATGTTTACATTCCTAACTTTAATTTGTTGCAAATACTGGTCTCCTTTCTAACTCTCCTCAAAAGAATTTAAATTGTCTTCCCATACTAATGGCTGGTCCTTTAGAGGCGATTTCTGGAACTCAAAACATACGAAAACATTTAGATTCTCACGAAGACACAAAGAAAATATGAGGCATCTTATACATTTTTCCTCTGAGATTGAACTAACAACATTGGACCTCAGATTCAGAATATTTTAGATAGTCTCATCTGGCAAGTTTACCCGAGGAATGAACTAAATGTAAGTAGAGTAAGAAAATAATCACGGCGTATTACTTGCTATCTAATTCTTACTTATTTACCCTCATTTATACTGCCAGCTATTGCATAAAGCAGTGTATCCTGGGATTGCAAAGCAAAATAGGTTGCAAGAAAGAACACCAGTCTGGAATCATGGAAAGGAAACAATTCCAGAGATTTAGTGCTACATAAATGATGCTGTATTCCATCTTCTTGCTTTGCAGACATTGTCCACAAATTGTAGATGAGATATTTAAATGTTATTAGATGTTTTAACTAGATAAATTTCATTTCTTTATCTAAAGTTTTCAACCTTTAGTGTCAGATTTTCATTATATTTTGAAACACTGAGTATTACAACAAAGCTCTTAAGTAGAAATTGCCTCATTTAAAGGAGAAACAAAAAGATTTCAACTCTTTGAATTTTAAATTCACCTATTGTAAGTTCAAGTTTAGTGTCTTTTCCAGTGTCATATTTGTGTCACTAAAAGTATGTATTAGTTTACATCTACCCCCAACCCCTGCACCAGAATATCATTTTAACTGTGGATCCTCACATCTGATGTTCCTATCACTAAAAAAGCAAGTATGTTATCTCATTTTCCTTTAGGAACTGAGCATTTTGAAAACTTTTGCTTTTGTTCATAATTTTCTGGGGGGAAAAACTCCATCTCAAATGTTTGAGCCTGAATTACAACAATTTGATGGTCTCATGGTCAATAATTTGACCACATCTATGAGAGCTAGCTTTGAAAATATTTTTAATAGTTTAAATAGCCACATGTGGTGGCAGCAGACCCTTAATCCTAGCACTCAGAGAGTGAAGCAAAAGAACTTCTATCAGTTCAAGGCCAGCCTGGGCTGCCCAGTGAGTTCAAGCTCAGCCTGAACTACATAGCAAGAGTTTGTCTCAAAAACATAAATAAAATAATAAATAAATAATTTTTTAAAAGTTAAAAAGTAAAATACCTGAAATATATCACCTCTATGACTATATTCAAAATAACTGCTGAGGTCAAATTGTATAATACAACAATGTAATTTCTCTATCTACACATGAATTACAATCTATATTAGATGAAGTTTGCTGTAAATACTAATTAATAAGAGCTACCTCTTTCATTAACACTGTCTGGAAATTTCTTGAAGACAGTTTATTGTTTCAGCACTTCATTTTCTTGTATTTAGTCTTTGCCTAATAAAGTAACTGGAGTTCATCCTCTTCTAACTGCAAATAATTATAACTCAAGGAAGAATCAAATGTATTTTAAGGTCCTACTTTCTACCATGACCTTAGCATATGTGATAGCAATGAAACTTAGACCAGGCTGTTGAGCATGTTAGACACAAGAGAACACAAAAAGCTGAGAGCAGTTGCAAATCTAATGTAATGTCATGGGGCTCAAAAAAGGGCTTTAGACTCTTCTTAGCCCATGTACTTCTGATTGCGATTGGTATAGTGTCCAGTATGTCATAGGGCCTCTGGAGGAAAATGAGGAACAAAATAAATATGCCGATTTTCACACAATGAGCAATGCCTTAATGAGCTGATTACTTCTAGAAGATAAACTTTGAGATATAAAGATGAAAACAATTTCTTTTTTAAAAAAAGAAAAAATAACAAAAAGCAATTAGGTTCCTGTGGCACCGAGGACACTCAAACTTTTAATCCTTTAATTTGTTAACTAACATATTTCTCTTTGCTGGGTTTCTAGTGAAGCAGCTTACACACTCAGAAATGAAAGAAAGAAACTGGACAACCCAGGCCAAATGAGCTGGTTAAAGTATTGTTTTCAACCATGCAATCCTTATATTGAGGAAGATACTGGCAGATCATAAAGGTGAGTTCTTTTCTCAATAAGATTACTTTCTTCAAAGGAATTGCATGTAGCTACATAAAGACCAGGAGGTCAAATGAGCTTTAAAAAGACTCTCAACCTTTTAAGCCCACATTATGACTTTGATTACATGTCCTTTTCTCCATAAAAACACAAGTCATATTTTACTTTAGCACTGGACAGACACAAATATGTATTATGTAATAAACCTTAAAATTCCTTTATAGATTTTAAAAGAAATCAATGTATTTGTCTAGGCTCCTCACTATCAGGTCCTGACCTAGATCTCCCATCTCCCAAACGGGTATATGGTGGAGACTTAAATAAAATGAAACAAGTCGTATGATTTTAGCGCACCAGGAGGGTCAAATCCCTTTAGCTGAGTTTGAGACACTTAGGGCTAAGACAAAGACTTCTCTGGACCACCCATATTTATTAGGTCCAACAACAAAGAGCAGGGAAACTGAGGAAAGCACGGAAAATGAACAGGACCTTGGGAGTCACTTCAGTGACTTCTCCAAGTAGTAAATTATGCCAAATTAGGAGAACCTTCTTATCTCCAGGATAGAGGATTTATGAGGATACAGGCTGCAGGAGTGAAATTCCTTCATTTGTGGTCTCTATTTACTTAATTAGTGTTTGAGCCAAGGTGTCTTCAGCTGTGGCCTGATCTTGCCCTTTGAAGTATCTCTGGCCTCAGAGGTCACTACAAGCTTCAGCCATGACCAGTGATACTTAGAGGTTCACTTACTAGGAATCAGCACCTGTTGCCAGGCAAGTGATCAAGGCCTAGGACAGACTCACAGATAAATATAGAAAGCCAACTGGTTAATTTTAAATTCTGTCAGAGCCACTGGGTAGTGGTCTCCAACACCTCACAAAATGAAAATCCTGTTGCATCATTAGATATGCCAGCCCAAAAGCCAGGGGTTAGTATTCAAATAAAGGAGAAAGTAAGACCCTCTCAGATACATTAGGTGATTGAGGCCACCTGAAAATAACATGTTAATTGACAAACTCTTTTCTTCTTTACTGATGAGAGATAAAAGAGTGAGAAGAGCACAAAACTCTACTGCTCCCCATGCAAGGGGTTCAGTGCTCTCCAATACGCTAATTTACTTGAAAGGAAGCCACACTTGCATGGTTTGATGCCATGTCCCCTGATCTTAAGACAATGACTTTTAACTCACACTTAAATCACAATGTGGGCAATAATAACTAATCAAAGCACATCTTCCTGCTGAATCTGGGCTGCTGGGAACTGATTTTCAGCCAAATGCCAGTCCAGTGGCAGAACCTGAGGAAATGATAATAGCATGGTCTAGGATGCAAACATCTTTTTCCTTAATGCTGAAAACTTTGGGTTGAGATTTCTGCTCTAGTGGCTATGTTTACATAAGAAATTTTCTCCAAAATTAAATTGTTGCAACTCTCCTTAAATATTAAGGAGAATGAAAACGACGAAGTCTCACAGAAGGAAAATGTCTCCTACACTGTTCCAGTGCACTGGGGACAGGGCTTGGCCAACAGCCAACGCGCCCCTCCCTTCAGCTCCCTTTGCTGCCTCACACTCCTCCAGTGGATGGAACATCCCACTTCAACATTCTCCCTGGCTATCAAACTGCCATTCACTCCAAGGTGAGTGCAGCCAGACAGCCCATGTCCCTTCCGGCTCCTGACACCTGGGACTGCACAGTTGCCCTTTAGAATAAGGGAGGGGCACCTGGAAAGCCTAAGGTTGAAAGGAGGGATCTAGGTCCCGTAGTTGCACACCCAGCATCACAACAGGCTTTCATCCCTACCCCTCAGAGAAAGAGGCCTGAAGTTGCTACCTAAGCAGTACTCCTCGGCCACATCTTCAGTTTTAATCTAGGATGTCTCCCTCCTGTTTAATGCTTATAAACTGAGCCCTCATCACCACCTCTTTGCTGGCACAAGCCTTATTAAAATATAAACTTGCTTTAGTGTCTCTGTAAAAGAATGTTGCAGGCAACTATGAAACTGAAGTAACACAAAGTGTGATTCTTTTTAAAAAGTGGATCCTGTGGTTGTGTATTAATAACTTTCTGTTCATCATCCAGACTTCTGTTGGAGAAAAACTCTATGTAATGACATGGAAAGAACCAATGATTCCACATTGACAGGATTTATACTGGTTGGGCTTTCTGACCATCCAGAACTCAAGACAGCTTTCTTTGTGCTAGTTTTGTGGATGTTCCTGATGATCCTGCTTGGAAACGGAGTACTCATCTCAGTGATCCTCTATGACTTTCATCTGCACACCCCCATGTATGTCTTCCTCTGCAATCTTTCCATCCTGGACATTTGTTATACAAGCTCCTCTGTCCCACTAGTCCTTGAAACATTTCTGAGAGCAAAGAAGAAAGTTTCATTCTCTGGGTGTATGGTACAAATGTTCCTTTCCTTTGCCACAGGTGTCACAGAGTGTGTGCTTTTAGGCATGATGGCACTTGACCGCTATGTGGCCATCTGCTTTCCACTGAGATACTCTGGCATCATGACCAAAGATGTCTATGTGCCCATGGCAGCTGTACCTTGGGTCATTGGGCTTGTTGACTCAGTGATACAGACATCTCTTGCAATGCAATTATCATTCTGTAGCAATAATGTCATTCACCACCTTGCCTGTGAAATTCTGGCTGTCCTGAAGCTGGCCTGTGCTGATATTTCAATCAATGTAATCAGCATGGCAGCATCAAACCTGATTGCTCTAGTTATTCCCCTGCTAATAATTTCCATTTCTTATTTATGTATTGTTGTTACCATCATAAGAATTCCTTCCACTGAAGGAAAACGTAAGGCCTCCTCCACCTGCTCAGCCCACCTCACGGTGGTGATTATATTCTATGGGACCCTCTTCTTCAAGTATGCAAAGCCCAAGTCTAAAACCACTGCTGAGGCAGATAATCAAGACATCCTGCAGGCTCTCATTTCCCTCTTTTATGGAGTGGTGATCCCCTTGCTCAATCCTCTCATCTATAGTCTGAGGAACAAGGATGTAAAGTCTGCTATTAAGAATATGCTGGGGAGGAGAGAATTTTCTGATGAAATATGAAAATTCGTTTATACCGTGTGATCCAGTAAAAGAGGCTGCAGACATGACATTCAGAAACAAAAATTTACTGTGTGAAAATGAATTCACCACGTGGCATTCAAAACAATGTGATAGAAATACTTTGATTTCTGATGTTATGGCTAGACTTTTGCTCTAACAACAGAAATAAGACACTGTCATGGTTTTAAACCATGCAAACTATTGGTTTACCTATTTAAAAATGTACAAATGTTGAAAACCTCTTAGGAAGACCAATTCTCTCACTTCCTCCCAGAAAATGCCATTCATAATTGTGGAAAGTAATAGAAGAAAACTGTGTTCTAAAATCAGTTGTAACTTATAAGAAGTAAATTACTGATTAGTATGCAAACTGTTAACACATGATGTAGTATTTATTCATTTTTAATTTGTTCATTTCTTTACTGATTGTATTCACCACAAATAAAAAAATCTTATCTAGTATCATATCTATTTATGGTTATACAATATCCAAAAGCCTTGTCATCAGGCCTGGAATATAATAGTCAACAAACTTTTAATAAATAAGTAAGCCACCCAATACATAAAAGCAGAAATGTATATCTGTCATAGCAGAGCTACCAAGAATTATTAAAAAAGAAAATTTATTAAATAAAATAATCTAAAATTTATTAGCATTTAATCATATAAACACCCCTTAGTAGCTAAGGTATTTTCTGTGTGTGTGTATGTGTGTATGTGTGTGCGTGTGCGTGCGTGTGTGTGTGCGTGTGTGTGTGTGTGTGTGTGTTTTAATATAGAGTAATTTGTTTTTGCTTGTTAGCTACAATAATCTTTCTGGAATTTTGTACATGATGAAACAATGACAGATAAAAAGATTTCTCTAATCATATATTTTAAGTTTTAACTTAATACAATACAGGTTACATGGTAGCAAAGCATTCCTCATAAATTATGAAAAGAGTTTTGGCTTGAAGAAAGTTTCTTTCCTACTCTGCTAGGCAGGAAAACTACAGAGAACTGATAACCATTGCAATATGATGATTAAAAAGCACAGGAGACTGTGTCAAATTATTCAACACTGAGCTAAAGAAGTCTGAAGTTTGAGTACTAAGCTAGAGATGGCCCTAAACTGTGGGGCAGCAACTATGGGAACTCAACATTTACTGAAGGAACTGAGCCAGATGTGGCCGACAGAAAAAAGTACTCCCTTTATCCAGTTATTTTAAGTTTTATAGTAGCTGAATACAGAATGACAATAAAGTAAAAGGCTATAGATACTTCTAAGTGATGAGAGTAGCCCACAATACTCTCCTTTCTTGTTAATGGGTAATGGTTGTTATTTCACAATGTTACTTGTTAACTCATGCATGCCACTTAATACTGCCTAGAACAACCTAAAAGCACAAGAAAACATTTATCATTTTTATTGTTGGGTATACTAAAATAGGTCAGACAGCTTTGAACTGCCACAAGACTTCATCCTTATACTTTCAGGATCAAATTTCTATTAAACTACTGGCTCTTAGCTTCAAATCTAGTTTTCTATATTCTTTTTTGTTTGCTGGATTGGGAGATTCCCAACCCACTTATCTTTGTTAACTAGCTTCTTTTAGATTTCATCAAAAGGATTGCTCGAGGGAAAGTGAAACTAGGATGGAGACAAAAGACTTGTCCCATGTTATCTTTCTGTCAGAACAACCCCAGCTTTGGTTCTTCACCATGACAACCATGTGCTTCCATAATGCTTCTAGTTTCCATTGATTGTTTTTTCCAAAAACCAAAACCAGAAATCTACTTATGCTGTCTCCTTAAAGCACTGAGTTTGTCACATGGGTCTTAATTTTCATACACTAAAATTCCTCTGAAGTTTTTATCTCTCTCAAGTGTTTTTAAAAGTCTTGATTTATACAATTGTTTCCTCAATAAATGTGTTACATCAGGCAAATATATGTAATAGATAAGATCAGACAAGCATTTCCATATTGGGAAAGACACTGCATTTCTCAGGTATATTCTTGGTTCTAAAATTTAGTCCATAAAAATCATTTTAGTATACTCTAAAATCATACAGTTATAGTAATCATATGATAATCAGAGCTCCAGAGAATTCAACAGTATAAGGTCATACACATAACAGGAGTAGAAGAAGACAAGAAAGGAAACAAAAATATTTGTACAGAAATAATAGCAGAAATCTTCCTAAATTAGATCAAATAATAGTCTACACATTGAAAAAGTTCAACAGAATTCAAGATGATTCATTGAAAACCACAGTCAGACACATTGTAGTCAAAACACCAAAGTACCTCATGAGGTTTAATGAAAAACTGGGTCCATCATTCAAAGGAAAATTGAGTTACTAAACTAAGCAGAGAAACCCACTAAATGTTTAACTGCTGACTTCTCATCAAACAGTTGAGGCTGGCAGGCAGTGGCACAGCACAGTCAGTCCTGGAAAAAGAACAGCACAGGACACTAATCAAACCCATTCAGAAAAACTATATTGAAAATTTGAAGACAAAATACATGTATTACCAGATGAATAAACCTGACTTAATTATTTACAAACAGACCTGCCTTCCAAAAATACTAAAAGAAATTTTGGGTTAAAGAAAGAAATATTAAACAGGAATGCAAATGGGTCCACACATATACATGAGAGAAAATAACTCAGTATATATTTTATAAATAAAAAAAATAGGGGCCAGGGATTTAGCCCAGCGGCATAAGCACCTGGTTAGTTCAATCCCCAGTACAAAAAAAAAAAAAATCAGAAAATGAAAATGTTACTTTAAATCATCCGTTTGTGCCTCTAAAGTTTCTTGTAAAGTTTAAATATACTTGGAGATTTATTTTAACTGGGGGAAAAAAGACATTTCTTAACTCTACCTTAAGGAATTTCCTTATATATAACTCTATTTGGCTACTTAAGGTAGTGTGACCTCTGTCCTTTAGGAAATGTGAAGTCTCTCTTGTCCCCGTGAGCTCTGAAAACACAGTTCCTGTCCCCGTACTGGCATTTTTCCTCATTCTATCACCAAGCAGATGAGGTCACCTTTCTACCACAAAAACTTGTTGGCTTTTTTTTTTTTTTTAGTTTTGTTGATTTGGGGTTTTTTTAGTATGTATGTATGTATGTTTGTTTGTTTTTCTTTCTTTTCTTTCTTTCTTTCTTTCTTTTTTTTTTTAACTAAGAGTCAAACTCCCCACCTTGCACTTTCCAGGCAACTCCTGTGCCACTCACCTGTATACACAATAGACTTTCAAACTCTACTACAATTTCTGTCTTTTTCTCTTACAGATTCTAGGTAAATGACATACAATGTGTGACTAGAAGTGATTTCACAATTTTTAGCATGCACTGAACAGGAATTCTATAGACTCACTCTAGTATATAAGAGTTTAGACTACCTATTCTCTGCCATTACAGCATGTGCTACAAAATGATACATTCTAAATACCAACACAATAGAATATACATATATAATGGCATTGGCTTTTGTGCCAATATCGTGCTGTTTTCATAACTGAAGCTTTATAACATAACTTTCACTCTAGGATTGTGATGCCATGGTGACCAGGATCATTTTTGCTATTTTGGATCTCTTTTTATTCCACACAAATTTTAGACTTTTTTAAAGTTCTATGAAGACTGTTATTGCCATTTTGATTGGATTACATTAAATTTGTATATCAGTTTTGGAAATATGGCAATTTTGATGACACTGGTTCTGCCTTTCAAAAAATAGGGAATATTCTTCCATTGTCTGATGTCATCTTTGACTTCTTTTTTTGACTTCTTTTTTTCTTTTCATTGTAGAGGAATTTTATTTCCTTGGTTTAGTTAATTCCCAAGTGTTTAAATTTCTTGATGCTATTGTGAATGGTATTATTTTCCTTAATGTCTTTCCTAGTGCATTCATTGTTGTACAGGAACACTATTGGTATTTATGTATTAAGCTTGTATCCTGCTAATAAAGAAGGGGGAAAAGAAATTAAAACTATTTAACTGCAATTTTGAATGAGCAGTTTCTTTCCAGAATCTGTACAATGTTGGAATCTAGCAAACCACGTTTATTTGCACCTACCTGTGGGTTTGTGAGGTTCCCCATATTCCAGAGGCAACTCTGTCCATTCACTTCAGTGTGTATACTGTCTAAATGAACCATGTCCTTGTTCGTAATGGTAGACAGGGAAGATAGTCAGATTTCTGATCTGTGCTGAGTAGTCTGTGGGACAAGGGTTCAAGATCACCTTACTTACAGACAGAGCACTTTATAAGAATGAATTAAAAGATGCTCAAGTGAAACAGCAGACATAAGGAAGGAACTCCAGCACTGTACTGACACATTTAATCCTTTTGAGCCTTTTCAAGTGCCTGCCTAAATTCCTCCTTAGTCTACACCTCTGATAAAATAAAGCAGTAGGTTGAAGGAAATACACATCAGCATTCATAAAAGAAACTTAAAGATGAGCACCTATGCCTGCTGTTCTTCCAATAGAGTGGGTGGAATAGGTCTTTATAATCCATATACCAAAATGAAATCTAGACCACATTCAATCACCACACTTAAGGCACCATCCCAGTTTTGGGCATCTGATGCATGACACACTAGATTTTGCTGGGTCCCTACTGCCACAATATAACATGATAACAAAGAAAGCTTTCTTACTGATATTCATTAGACACTCCCATATGGATGTCTTTTCTAAAAAAATTCCCTCCTTCTTGCCATTTTATAATTATTCGTGCTTGGGGCTTTTTTGGTGTTTTTTTTTTTTTGACATCCTGATACTCTCAGTTTCTTTCAAACTAAGCCAAAATTTCTTTTTGCTTTGACTAATGAAATTCTAGAAGTGATGATTATAACTTCTGATAAAAACAAGTATTTGCCATCATGAGACACTGCTACTGTCTCCTTGCATTTGAAGCAAAGAGCCTGCATCACATCAAATCTAAAAGTGACTGATTTAGTCTCCCTGCTACTCATGAATATTGTATGTGTCACAGGATTAAT